AGTCTGAAAATGTGCAGTATTAGGGTCACCACCATTTCATTGTTGGGTGAATTCTTTTTTATTCAATTTAAAAAATAGTTGACATCGTTGATGATATCTCATTTATGAATAGCGTCATTTGGGAAGATAAAAAGTTACGACGTATATTAATATTGACTGTATTGTGTAGGCGATTGTTATTTATTGATCACTGCACTGGAGCATGTATATTGTTCATTCAATATAGTGTAGAGGTTATTGGAAATACTGATAACCCAACTAATTAATATTCAGGAACGCTGTTCAACAAAATGTCTAAATATGAACTGAATTTGTTATTAGTATTTTTTAGTTTATTTTCTCTTGCCCAGATGACTCCATTTCTGTTTGTTTATGTACTTGCTAAACTCAATTTTTTTAATAACCGTGGCTAAACTGACAATTAATGAGGGGGGGGGTACCTTTTTCAAAAAATCTGGATTCTTAACTTAAAAACTTTGGATTCTTAAGTTAGCCCACGTTATTGAACATGATGTATTCAGTGTTTATTTTCAAAAAAACAGTTATTGGTAAACATTGCACCTTATGTTTTCGTAACCAGACTGAGTGACTGGCTAAAGACAATGGATTTATTTTGCATACTGATTGAGGCTGTTTAACATAACAAAGAGACTTGGAATAAATCTTTTGTGTGATGTACCATCTTGTTGCAGTCACTGTTCATGATGACATTCTTCTGTCTTCTTAGTTTTATTGTGATTGCTCAAAGATTACTATCTTCTAAAGTTACATTGAAAAATAAAAAACGTTGAGAAAAAGTGAGAAACTGCCAATCCTGTGGGGGGGGGGGGGTATTTTTTTTTTATCAGTTTCTGTGAACTATTGTAACTCAATTAGTCTTCTAGGCAAATACAAACACGGAAAGTACATAATTGTATTCTCCTTTATCACGGCTTTCTGAAAACTTGTTTTCTTCTTAATACTTCAAGTGTATTTAATAGTATGTAATGGACATTGACAATAGTTTTCTTGAAGTGTTATTTTCAGATGGAAAATATACACCAAAACTTAATACATGTAGTACCCTATGATGAATTTTGACCAACTCTAAAACCAGATTTATTTAGATTATTTATTTTAAGTCTGTTAGTAGAGTGGAAATGGGGACAGTGAGAGAATTGAGACAAAAGTGAAACAAGATTTCTCTAGCAAACACACATAGAAGATGTAAATGAGATATCACTAGAACTAAAAGTATATATGATATCTTAAGAACCAAGTGTATAAAAATAATAATAATATAAGGTTATTACGAAGATACCTCAAAGTATGCACGAAGACAGTACAGCGGCAGTACGATGCGACAGCGTACTGTCTGAGTTTAGAACAGAATCAGTAAACTTATTTGTGTGGAGTCTGGTCAAATCCTGGTGGCAGCCATGTTTGTTTTTATTATTAGAGGAGGCTTACGTGCGTAATCATTCCATATTTGGAATTCACATTTCCTAATATGGTAGTATGAAAATACCCTGTAAAATACCGCAAAATTAAGGCACGCTGTAACTTATGGCGTTACGGTGTCAGATGTATAATAATAATATTTATTAACCCATAGTATCTCCCAGAAAGGATAACAAAACAAATAAAGAAAGAAGAAGAAAAAAACACTATTAAAGCTCCCAACTCAATCAAGGCACAGTCACTGTCTGGTATAAGACTGGTCTAAATGAACTGAGCTATGGGAAGTGACCTATGTTTGTTGCTCATAATGGAAATAAATTTATCACTCTCCCTACTGGTTCTAAAATTATTAATATGAATTTCTGCTTTGTGCCCTATATGCTGGGCAATTCATAACAAAGTGTTTTTCATCTTCACATATTCTAGAATTAACTGCATTTTGTTTGCGTCTGCCAGTTTCAATTTTAAGACGATAATTACATCCAATGTAGCTGAACATTTGTGATATCACAAAGTAGCTTTCAGTTTTTAACTTGTTCTTAAACATTCTGTATGTCCTCAACTTATTAGAGGAACCAATTTCCTTTCTATTGTCATTATGTATATCATTTGCTCACTGTTTTTCAAATAATTTATTTATTAATTTTTTGTGAACTTCGCTCATGCATGTGTAATAAAGTATCTCACTTTAAGATATAATTTGGTTATAATCAATACTACTCAGCAGTTTCTCAATTTATTAAAACCATTTGTTCTTGTTAGTCCTGGTTCGGACGCAGTCAGAAAACGGGACTTATGTTTTGACCTCCGTGCGTCCGTGTTTCCGTGCAAAAATCAAATGTGTGTGTGATATCTCTGAAAAATCAAATGTGTGTGTGATATCTCACAAAAATCAAATGTGTGTGTGATATCTCTGAAAAATCAAATGTGTGTGTGATATCTCTGAAAAATCAAATGTATGTGTGATATCTCACAAAAATCAAATGTGTGTGTGATATCTCACAAAAATCAAATGTGTGATATCTCACAAAAATCAAATGTGTGTGTGATATCTCACAAAAAAAAATGTGTGTGATATTACAAGAACCAATCTGCGGTATAAATGGTATATGTATGTGTGTATTTAGTGTTGTCTGTGCAAAAACTGGTCGGTCTGTAAAAGCTCTACTGGTGATATTAGAACAAAGAGGAAGGGAGTGATACAGAAGCTGGGGCCTCCATGCCTTGTTGTGCATTCATCTAAAAGTGCTGTTTGAAGACTCCCAGCTGATATTAGAGAGAATAATGGGAATAAAAGAATTGTGTGAGTATACAGTGTACAAGAATAATTGTTTGACATAATCCTTAATTCAATTACAGTGGTGTTAACTCCCGTCATGCTGTATGCATTGCTATATGCCATGAATTATACACGCACCCTACTAAATGTAAGTATATCAATCTCTTGTCACATTACTGTCTATATAACAATAGTTTTCATTCGGCCACATCACATCGTTTTATTTTCACAGCTTCTTTACACGCCTGGCGTTTATTCAGTTATTAAAAACAAGCTGCAAATAATACATTTTCAATCTTCAATGATCGATTAACTGTCTAAAAAGTGTTATGAATAACATTGTTACATACAGGCAATTTGCCGTAACAATAGTCGTACTCTTTCTAGTCATTTTTCTTCATTTTGTAATATCTTTGCTGTGTGTCCATTATACCATGCTTCCCTAGCAACGAATATTGGCGAGGTTGGAATTTGAATGTGTATCAGAGTGATGATTGTTGACTGTTCTTTGAGATTATTGATCTTTGAAAAAAAAAAAACTTGCATATACTGTATATTTGCACATGAGAGATTCAATTCTATAGATTTGCAGTTTTAGCTCTAATTTTGGTGAATATTTTTGTCATTTTTGGTAAAAAGTGATATTTTTGAATTCTTGTTAAAAACAGCAAGTCCCATTACTTGATACTATACATATTGTTCATTTTCTAGTGATATCTTTTGTTCTTTAATTGAAATGTGCATTGCTAACAGTGGAGCTATCTCAGCCGACAGACTGCTTGTTTTGAGCTATTTATTAAAAAATGTTGTTCATTCTAGATTTGGTTTAGTGAGCCTGGATTACAGGATTTAGGAACAAATTTGTTGATGGGCAATGTGTTTTTTGAAGAAACCCATTTAATTCAAACCAAGAAGCGGCGTCCGGGAACAGTCAGTCAGCTCAGTCGCTTAATTTCTGTCACTGGCTGCAGCTCTTTCTGTCACTGGCTGCAGCTCTTTCTGTCACTGGCTGGCTGCTGTTCTTTCTGTCATTGGCTGGTTGCTGTTCTTTCTGTCATTGGCTGGTTGCTGCTCTCTCTGGTACTGGCTGACTGCTGCTCTCTCTGTCATTGACTGGCTACTGCTCTCTGTCACTGGCTGGCTGCTCTCTGTCACTGGCTGACTGCTGCTTTCTCTGGTACTGGCTGGCTGCTGCTCTCTCTGTCACTGGCTGGCTGCTGCTCTCTCTGTCACTGGCTGACTGCTGCATCTCTGGTGCTGGCTGGCTGCTGCTCTCTCTGGTACTGGCTGGCTGCTGCTCTCTCTGTCACTGGCTGACTGCTGCATCTCTGGTGCTGGCTGGCTGCTGCTCTCTCTGGTACTGGCTGGCTGCTGCTCTCTCTGTCACTGGCTGACTGCTGCTCTCTCTGTCATTGGCTGGCTGCTGCTCTTTCTGTCACTGGCTGGCTGCTACTCTCTCTGGTACTGGCTGACTGCAGCTCTCTCTGTCACTGGCTGGCTGCTGCTCTTTCTGTCAC